CTTCTTCAGCCAATTTAAAGTGCTCATACGTATAGTGATTACGACTCTCAACAATTCATAACTTTATTATATTCACTCAGATTTAAATGAAACTTACATCCACTTGCTTCTCTGATTTTTCTGCTTTCGTTTAGAGTACCGGTAGTTGTCTATTTGGGTGGGTAATGTATGGATCATAGATGATGATTGGTAGGTAACCAAGGTGGCTGAGTGAAATGCTGTGGTGCGAAAAGGCGCATCCAAAACGCAAAATGCATAACACTTATATTTTATTGGATTGGTATTCTTTTCGTTTTAGCAAGATTTTATATCTCATCAAAGACACGCCTTTTTGTGATGCGATAACCAGATAAAAATGTTCATAACAAAATTTCACTCTCAGCATTTAAAGCTCCACTGCACTTCTTATAGCTATTTGCACCCTCTATATAGTAAACAATGCCTAACGGTGACCATTGGTCCCCCATGATCCTCTTTTTCTTATGTTAAGTGAGAGCTGATTTGATGAGATAACCACCTGTTCAGTGACCTTGCAGGGTGGTCTAATCCCTCCTGTAAACTAGTACAGATGGGCTTTAATGTTCAGCCAATAAATTCACTCTCTGCAGGTTTATAGGGCAAGAGAGCTTGAACGAGATGTTTTTAAATTTTCCACTATGAGTGTTTCAAAGCGCTAATAGTACACCTGTCAGATGGACGAAATTGACCAGAAGCAAAATACATTCCCTGCATCCATGGACAAGCTGTGCTTACCTGGTAGTGTTGTAGATGTGGTGGTCATGTTGCTGGGAGAGGTAGTCATGTTACTGGGTGCGGTAGTCATGTTACTGGGAGCGGTAGTCATGTTGCTGGGTGTGGTAGTCATGTTGCTGGGTGCGGTAGTCATGTTACTGGGTGTGGTAGTCATGTTGCTGGGTGTGGTAGTCATGTTACTGGGTGTGGTAGTCATGTTGCTTGCTGCTGTGGTCATGTTACTTGTAGTTGTAGTTGTTGGAGCTGCAGTGGTTGTTGTAGCTGCAGCGGTTGTTGGAGCTACAGTGGTTTTTGGAGCTGCAGTGGTTGTTGGAGCTGCAGTGGTTGTTGGAGCTGCAGTGGTTGTTGGAGCTGCAGTGGTTGTTGGAGCTGCAGTGGTTGTTGGAGCTGCAGTGGTTGTTGGAGCTGCAGTGGTTGTTGGAGCTGCAGTGGTTGTTGGAGCTGCAGTGGTTGTTGGAGCTGTAGTGGCTGTTGGAGCTGCAGCGGTTGTTGAAGCTAGCACTGCAAACATTTTGGAGAAAAATCAAAACAATTAAAGAAATAAGAGATGGACAAGTAAACTACCGGTACAACAAATACAAGGAAAATCTAACATTAATAGCAAACTATTTTTTAATGGAGAGCAGATAAATCAGAGAAGCACACTAGTGAAATTTGAATAAAATCAGACAAAAAAAAATCAGACAAATTATGAATTTGTGCAACTTGTAATCACTACACGTATGGGAACTTCAAATTGGCTGAATTAGTAATGCCACTGTGATGTAGTACCAGACACTAACTTTCCCATAATTTGTTCCAACACGCAAACTTTCAAAAAGCATTTTTTCCAAAATGTATGACACAGGGGATTCTTTTCTTTCTAGAGGGCCTATGATGAAATATTATCCATAATATATTTTTAGTAGTGCCCCGAGGGAGAAGGCACTTTGGAGAAAAATATAAATTAATGATATTTTTGTAAACAGAACAAACAGGAGAGTTATCCATGAATACGTCACATTTCACCGACAAAATTGGCAATTTGAGATTTGCATAGCTTTAGGGATTTCATATTACAAGCAGTCATAACTCTTTTATCATGGATATTTTAATCTGTTTCCAAGTTAGCATACAATCAATACAGTCAGATAATGTGTATTTTTCTTCCTTAGTTCCCTTTACATTATTTATTTATGATCACACACGTAGCGCATGACAGTACACCACCCATGCCATAAATTTTGAAATGATATGCAACTAAAATTATGAGATTAAAGTCTAAAGTTTGTGTGGGCAAAGTCATAATTTCAGCACAAAACAAAGCTACACATTGCATACGTCAGATATATGTCTACTACACACTATCACAGTGGTGTACATTTTTCTAGGTCAAATAACATTTGAACATGTATAACATGTAATCAACACAGGCTTCATCTATTCAGCATTTGATAAACAGTTTAACATTCTATAGCATCATCTGTTGGTGTAAAAAAAAAAAAAAAAAAAAAAAGTTGGGACACTTTAAAGTGTTGATTGGTAACTCTAATTAAATAGACCCTACATAGATGTAATGTATGAAGGGGTGACCCAAGTTCGCGGGCATTTTAGAACATATTACAAAATGTGATATTCGATCTATGATTTCTCATATTCTACACAAATTCAATTATTTCAATTATTACCAAATGGACGGCAAAGTTTTTTTACTACAAATTGGTTCAAGTAGAAAATTTATCGTCGAAGGATTTCAAAGATATAGCGATCTAAAAATTCAATATCCGATCGTGCGTGTGGGCTACATAAAAAAAAGTCTTAAAAACAACGAGACCTAAACTTCACGCACAGGGGTTTAGATACAGCTGATGTATACAAAAATATGATACATCAAAAATAAGGTAAATTAATAATTTGCAAGGCAAGATATCATATCAGTAGACTGTAGGCCTACCACTTATTACTTACAATTTTGAGGATATCTGGTCTCAAAATGATGATTTCCAGACCCTTATTGGTAAGTTGATAATTTTTCTGAACGAACGCAAAAGACTGCAAAATTTTCTGATCTTTTGACTTTTTGACAATATTTTCAAAATTTCACACCCAATTCTAAAGAAAATTTCGTTTTGATTTTCGAAATCTTACCGATTTTTAGAGAAAGTGAACTATTCTAGACTCTAGGTCTAGGTCACGCGCGAACTTTGGTCACACCACCATATGTCTACATATGCCTGGCAACATTATTTCTAGATCTAGACCTAGATCTAGAGTAGTAGATCTAGATCTAGATCTACTAGAGGGGTCTAGAGTCTCATTATCAATTTGAAATATTTTTCCAATAACGTAGTCTCAGCAGAAAACCCAATAATAGGCCTAGTTATAATTATATCAGCTATCAGACTCAGTATCAGATCAGAGATTGAAGCTTTTGCCATTTTGGCCTAGATTGTAGGCTACATCATACATATTGCATGTAAGATGTGTAGCCTACACATGCACACTGCACTGTCTGTAGGCCTACCAATACTAGAGGTCCGACATCGACATCAACTTGAGAACCTTTCCGGGCTAATATTACTTGCTTTAGATGTTAAGTTTTTTTAACATTATAATTCAGAACTTTAACTGTCATATGACTTACCCAGAAAGACTAACGACAGTTTCCATGAAAAACGCGCCATGATTGGGAGCTGGAGTGGAATTTCTGTTTCGGTTTCTCCGGTTCAAAAAAAATTCAGCTTGGAAGTCAACCATTAATTTTCGGAAATTACTCTCTAGTAACCTTGTCACCTGACGCCAGCGCACTCACGTGACATTCATCACGCATGCACACACACACACACACACACACCCATCTCAGCTTGAGTTTCTGATGTTATTAGCGAGGTCTTGAGAAGTTGGGTTTACCGATCGAATTGATGAAATAAGTTGAAACTATATATCACATTATCTGTGGCAGATCCAGGGGGTAGTTGCTACTCAAGAAGTTATCATCACCGCCACCACCATGAGCACTGATTAATCATCATCATTACCATCAACATCAGCACCTTCGGCACTATAATAATTATTATTAATAATATTATGAGCGTGGTTAAAATGTATTTTCGATGGAAAAGATATATGATATATTTAGGTAGTCACTGTGTCATCTCGTTGTCAAATAGAAAGATATTCGGGCACCTCGATAGTTACCATCACATTTGGAGGTATTGCCTGAAATCATCCTATTTTGATTTTAAATGTTGCGAGGGAGGATAACGAGAGAGAGAGAGAGAGAGAGAGAGAGAGAGGGGGGGGGGGGGGGGAGAAAGAAAAGCTCTTTATTATGTTCAAAATGTTATATTCTCTCGTTGTTTCTAATATTCAGTTCTCAAGTTGAAATAGACGTTATTCCATCAATATGTTTTGCTATTATATATATATTTTAGATATAACCCAATCTCACATGGCATCCCTAGAGGTGCCTTGCGGCCCCCTTGCGGCACCCTTGCGGCATCCCGATTGAAAACGCTATACTACATGGTCAAAATTTGCGAGGGCAGATTGACCAGGCCGGGAGAAACTATATACCCCATTGCTGGATATGAATCATTTTAAAGTATAATGGACACACATAATATTAATAATATTCCGCTTTTAAATAGCGCTTAATACATCGATGATGTCTCTAAGCGCTGTACAGAGGCCCGGTCATCGGATTCAGGCCTTTTCCCGCACACAATTATTATGCACATTCTCCATTTTCGCATCCTACCGGATACACCTGGGTGGAGAGTGGCAAATGTAGATTAACGTCTTGCCAAAGGACATCAGTGCCGCGGCGGGACTCGAACCCGGTATCATGTGATCTGCAGGTACTTATATCCACTAGACCACAACACCTACACATTATATACTCTCTCTCTCTGTCTCTTTATTCGTACGTCTGGTATCTTTCACCCCCATCTCCAATCGTTTTTTCTTCACTGTTGTAGGCCTACACTACAATTACTATAGGACGCCGATCTGATCACCCCAAAGAATTTTTCGATAATTTGACAAAAAATAGGTATATTCCCAGCGAGATGTGAGTTTTTACAGCTAATATCTTCCTGTACTGATGAATACTTTGTCAACTATTTATGTTAGTATTGATCGGGTAGGCCCTCTTGTGCCTTGACTAAACTTTACCAACTATTACATAAAGTATGTCCTCATACAATAAACTGGATTTGAACTTGATGCCGACCACATTTACCCGGGAGTTTGCAGCTTATTTCAATATAATTATATGCAACAGTCGAATATACTAATGGCGCCCATCCAACAGAACTATAGCATGTATAGAGTTCGAAACATTTTTCGTACCTATTAATTTAGAATATGTCATACGCTGTGAGATAATGTGTCTGTTATTTCAACCTTGAAACTCTTGTCCCTGTTTTCCCAGCTATATCTATAGGCAAACCAAAAACACTACATCGGAAGATCTGCTTACTTAATAACCCACATAGGCCTCTAATATTCACAAGCCCCAAACTTGACTATCAAATTTATTTGATGATATCAAGAAACACTGTTGTATGGCTGTTATACTTCCTCAATCCAGAAGTTATTATTACTATTACTATTACTGCAGTATTATCATAATCACTTTCATCATTGCTTTAAAGGTACTATGTCCCATTTGCAGGCCAAAAAAATGAAAAAGTTAAATTCCAACTGCATTTGAAAGATAATACTAATTTAGAACTTCCCTTTGAAAAGAAAATGTTATTTTATGAAGACTGGTATAAAAGTGGTATTATATACTTAAATGATATCTTTAAAGATGGTACTTTTGTTTCAGTAAATGAATTATTTATCCGCCTTAATACTAGAAGAAGTAAACAATTTTGATTTTTGACTATACAAAGCTACAAAAATCAATTCCAAAAATTTGGATAAATGATAAACATAGGGTACCTTTGGTTTTCAAAGACCATAATCTCTCTATATATCCCCCACTTTGTATTTGGAAAATCAGTTAAGCCTGTTAGTCTTTTGAGTAGTAAACAGTGGTATAATATGATCAGTTTTGAACAAATTAAAATAAATAAATGTTGTTTGTATTGGGAAGATGTCTTGCAGAAGGACGTTAAATGGTCTTCTGTTTTTAATAGGAATTTGATTGGGATAAAAGATTTTCGTCTACGAGAATTTAATTTCAAGCTTTTATATAATATGTTACCAGTCCGTAACAATCTGTTCAAGTGGGGTCTCGCATACGATAACCTTTGTTTAAAATGCAAAAAAACTGAAGATGTGCTTCATGCTTTCATTTCATGTAAGGCAAATGAAAGGTTCTTTAAGTATTTAAAGGACTTAGTTTTACGTGCTTTCAATCTTAGAATAGAGATAGATATTGTTTTATTACTCAAAATGAATTCGCAAACCGAAATCGATTTGATAATGACTATTGCTTTTTGGTCGATTTATAAAATGATTATTTTTCGTAATAAGTATGGATATGATAATAGAGATTTGAGTTTGATTTACTTATTTAAGAGAGAAATGACTGACAGAATAGAAATAAACGAACATTTGAAAGTACAAAATATGAAATTTCCTGCGAACTTGCTTAGTTATATTTGAGTAAATAACTTGTGTATTATTGATGTTCCATTGATTTGCTAAATTGTAAGCAAAATTATGTTACTGTTTGAATATTGAATAAACACCTCTAAGAGGCAAAGAGAAAAAAAAAATAATTTAGAACTTCCCTAAAAAAGGTGGGGCTTGAAAATGTCTTCAAGTGGGAAAATAACGACTATTAGTTGTCAAATCGACTTTAGGGCTATAGAGCCCCAAAGTAATAGTCTTGATTTTCAGACAATAATTGTACCGAATGGTCATACGTTTTATGCTGCGCAAAGATCCAATCAGTTTAATCTTGGCCATCACAAGAAGTGGGTTATTGATGTAGACAAGTGCTCATGTACCCTTTACAACTGTTTTCATGTATAGTTTCATGTATGTATGTACCAAAGAAGAAAAAAAGCCAGTCAGTCACTCAATAGTGTCTGACAGTGAAGTCTAGCAAGTAAACGGGTTTCCTTGCATAATTTTAATACGAGGACACTGCTAACGTTTAAATTTCACAGATAGGATATACATGACATATTCATAATTCCTGCATAGTTCTACAGAATTTGAGGTTGGCTGCAAAAGGGACATAGTACCTTTAACTATCAATTTTGGGATCACATTATAAGCAAAGATATTGAAAATACCATAGCTAAACCTAAGTTGTTGAAAAAATAGAATTCACTCAATAAAAAACCCAGAATCTGTCTTTTACGACCACATAGGAATTGTCTGGGAGGGGATCCTATTTTAATTAGTTTCAAGTTCTTGCTCTCTGGCTTTTTTAAAAATCAACCTACATCTTCCCTCTCTCTCTCTCTCTCTCTTTCCTCAATCTTCCCCTCCCCCTCTTTCTCTCTCACCCTGTTTGAGTCAAGTTAAATTCACTCCCCGAACCTTGTATCTTAGTATTTCTTCTTATCCTCCCTCTGTCTCATCTCTCTTTCTCTTTCTCTATCTCCCCATCTCTCTCCTCCATCTCTATCTTTATCTCATTTTCTCACCCCTCTCTCTCTCTTTCTCTTTCTCTCCCCCCCCCCCTGTCTCATTTTCACTATTCGATTGGGGCAGACAAAACTATCACGGTGTAGAACCAGGGAACAAAATACCACCAAAAGATATAACAAATGGAATGGGTTTGTTGAAATTTTTTATTAAAAATACAACAAAATGAAGAATTGATGCGAAGACGATGCTGCTATCCAATGTTATTATGTGAATTGATCTTAATATATACAGTCCATAAACATAATAATTATGATAAAATAGTAAACTATCAATGTCAAAAGATAGTGAAATACTGATTTGGTAAAATCTAATCGCAGAGCGTCCTCTTTTGGTCGATTTCTGTAAAACACCTTCGATCAGAATATTAAGAGGTAATCTGAAAAACACAAAGTGCATAATAAAACACAGATCCTCAACAGCGTGTGCTTACTGTTTATTTTCATTTGCTAAAATATTCCATTAAAAAAGACATGTACATGTTCTTTTGCCCAAGTCGAGTCAAATGCTGGGACTATTTCAAGTTCGTGATTATAAAAAATGATTAAAATTTTGTATCTATAAAAACTTCAAATAACAGAGATCACAAGGGGCCGCGACAAGTATTTGTAAGAGTTATACTTTAAAATGCCATGATATGGATAATCATTTAAAAACTGTTCCAATCATTGCAATGAAACCATCCCATTCATACAAAATAAAATAAAATGTATTAATTGAATTCTATAATCTATTATTTTCATGTGTTAAAAAACGATAAAATACATTAGTATTGAATATAAAGACTGTTTAAAATGATTTTTATTAAAACACCCGCGGATTTGTTTCCACCCACAACTGTTTTTATATGAGTAAATTGAGGTGAACTATCTCTTTATGCGTCGGGTTGTGGAGCGAAGCTCTGCTCGTACCTCGTCCATTTATCCTGTCCAACCCTGCAAAATAAAGAAGAATGAGAATTTTATGAATAAGAATAAGAATAAGAATCACGACAGAGCACTTAATTCGTTTGACAAGGCATTAATCTACATTGGCCACTCCATACCCGGGGGCTAATTTTTTTTCCAAACAGGTTTGCCAATGCTAATACTTCCGGTCATCTGATTAGCTGATATGTTACGTCATTATCAATGACGTTAGGGTGAGTGATAGGGTTATAGAAATCATGCAAAATCACCTTTCATGAACTCGGCGTTGGCTTAATCAGTAAGATCAGCGTAATACTATCTAAGAGTTGTGGGTTCAAGTCTCATTTTTTTCATTTTTTTTGCCTTTATAAATAGTGAGGCAGAGCAATAAATAAAATCAAAGTCTAATTGTTTGTGACCTCTTTCCAAGCTGCTAATGACGTAAAACATATCAGCCATTGAGAAGAACGGAAATATAATAAATTGCAAACCTGTTTGGGAATAAAAATTTCGCTACCCGGGAGGGGGGGGGGGATGGGGACCTGGTAGAATGACGAAAGTCTTTGTGACAGTAATTGCCATACATAATTCCAAAATTCAAAATTCAAAATACTGTTAGTACATGTACCAATAAAAGAATCAAAAAAGGGAAATGATTAAAAAAAATGAGGGGGGGGGGATAAGAGCACAATTTTTTGTTGTTGTTGTTGTCACGGAAATTTGACAATTTGGCCGACCGATATTCAGTTAGGGGGATGGGGGGGGGGGGGGGTTAAGGTCACTTTTTTTGGTCACCCTTTAGCACCCTTTAGCACCCTTCTAACCCATCCAAATCACACACATACACACATACAAGCGTACGCGCCTGGTCATACTGCAAATGGGCTAGATTATGGCGGTCTAGATCGACGGCTGGAAAAGCATCCTTAATTCCGCGGAGCACGGAATAGCCATGGCTGTGTACATACACATGTTGATGGTGAATTAAACAACCCTTGGTGGAAACATTTCCTATTCGTATCATCAACATTTCTCCATATACTCACTTGTTAGCTCTCTTGATCTCCTCACAGGTACTGACCATGCTGCTCTCGATCCATGTGGTGTATAAGACCTCTTGACCATCACATAGATGGCACTGACCAGTCCAGCTGGTGGTCGTACGTCCATTATCACGGACCACGGTGATTCCGAATGATGGGAAGTCGTAATTGTTGCTGGCGTATCCGACCATCACGGTAGGGGCTGAATAAAATGATAACAGTAATAATGATAACGATTGAAATAACAATAATATCATTAACAATAATTACATCAACAACAAAAATAATAAGAAAACCTTTTTACTACTACTACTACTACTACTGCTGCTACTACTACTACTACTACTACTACTTCTACTACTACCACCACTACTACTAGTGCTAGTACTACTACTTCTACTTATACCACTGCTGCTACTATTTAATTTAATTCAATTCAATTCAATGTATTTTCCATCATTAAAAAGAACAAGTATAACATAATATTAACACATCGTATTAAAATAAACATAAACAATGGAGGGATACCCTTAATAAGCAAGTTGCTTGTGAGCGAGGCCCCGGCATACAATATACAATGTACCACTTTGTTACTACTCCTAGTTCTGGGCCCTGTTTCATAAAACTTGATATCAATAACAAGTTACAAGCTACTGTTATAAGCTACTGAAATCATGGCATCTGATTGGCTGAGAGCAAATTTGTCATAGAAATTTAGCAGTTGTTATAGATAACAAGTTTTGTGAAACAGGCCCCTGGCCCTGCAGGAAGTCTAATGTGTTTGTATGTACCTGCGACTCCGAGTTCACGTTCAGTGAAGGTCATGTGATCTCCAAGCATCATTCCTGTCGAGGTCTTGATGATGGTGATCTGATCATTACACTCGTTATACCACAAGCCTTCCAAGTCACAGAATCCAACTGAAAAGAAACGGTAAGAAGAAGTTGATATGAGGTGCGAGATTATAATTATCATCATCATCACCTTCATTTATTAAAGTTGGTATTTTCTCTTCGACGAGGGGTTACTGACTTTTCCACCAGGATGACGCTCCCATCCTCCACCTCCTGTCTCGAGCATCCTCCTCATTTAGACCAACCTTGTTGCTATCTTAGTTACAATATAATTATATAGCGCCATTTTCACTGGGTGCAATGTGATTTAAGATGCAACCCCCCCCCCCCCCCCCCCCCCCACTTAGTGTTGTTTAGGGTACGCGTATATTATGCATGTTCACTCCTTTGAAAAGACCCCCTAAGTCCGGTGTGTTAAGTCAATATGGGCCGATTTTTTTTTGTGAGTTACGAGCCGGACTTTGCTGCGTGAAAAGTACCCCTTTACCGGACATTTTGGGAACATAAATGCGGTCCGTTCCCGGAGTGGGGGGGGGGGGGGGGTGCATTCCTTGGTCAATGTTCGAGCTGAAATATTAACAAGTTATCGTAGATGTTAAGACACTCTTCCACATAGTAGTAAGCATAATGAAAAGGCTCACAATTTACTCAATCTTACTAGAGTTGTCTTATAAAGAGTTATGATTGGTCTGAATTGATCGTAAGTCCTCCAATCAATCGCCGAAAACTTATCAACTCGTATTACTTTTATGAAGAGTTACGAACGATTTGAATCAGTCGCATGACTCAAAGAACTCAAACTTTTCTTTTTAAAAGACCCTTGAAGGTGTGTCTATATAAGCGGGTAAAATATCCTTATTTTCATACCTTCCTCGCAGTTCACACCGGTGTATCCTTGGCGACATTGACAGATGTACATGGCTATACCGTTGATACATTCGCCACCGTTCTGGCACGGTAGACTAGCGCATTCGTTAATATCTGGAATAGTAAAATATAAAATATTAGGACAACTGATAATAATAATATTTATTCATTTATTTACAGTTTTATTTCAGCAGAGTTTCCTATTTAGTTTACAAACTGCTATCCCCGAGGGCCCTGTACAATTAAAACAACGTATATAAAATATTTACAGATCTAATACCAGTAAGTACAAATTGAACACATAGATACCATTAGAAAAAAAAATTATGAAAACAAAGATAAATGACATAAGAAGAAATATTATGAATACAACATTGTAAAGTTTGAATGATAATTATAAACATATGATATGATCATAGGCAACCTCAGTGGTTATCAAGATATCAAAGTTAATGGTATATTTAAGAGAGTAACACATTACGCATAGTATTTCAAAATACTAAATGATTTTGCGACAAGGACCTAAAGATATGATAATATCGTTGATTTTATAAATCTATATTGCTATATAGATAACATTAGGTTAACATAAACGTGCTAAAACTTCTATATTTCAGCTGTTTGTGTGGGTAATCTTGACAAAAATTGACAAGAGCTGTATTTGTTTTATATACTAAAGACAAAGAACATGTGAACGGTAAATTTCCATTTATGCTAAATCAGAGAGCCTTTGTAATTTCATTATATTCCTGTGACCATTATGAATGCAAAGTTTTAGACACACACATTACATGCTACATTATCCCTCTCTAATAATTAAGACGAGTTGCCGATTTGATCATGAAATGTATTCTTCCAATACGTACCGATTTCGCAATTAATGCCAGTATATCCTGGTAGACATTCACAAACGTAATCGCCGCCAACGTTTGTACATACTCCACCGTTTTGGCACGGCAGACTCACGCATGCATCCAGTGCTAACAAAAGAACAAGAAAGCATAACGGTTTAGAAATGACAAAGTACTTGGTTCGATTCCCCACACGACACTTTGGAAAGAAATTGATATAAATTTCTCACTCTCGACTCAGATAGAGTAAACGTTTTCTTTTTTTATGAAGAAATTCCGAAATAGTTTAGGGCATTAATAGGGTGGCTCAGGTCTGGGGTGGCTTGTTCAGGCCGGAGTATGGAATTTAGACAATTCTATTCCTTTATCTGTATGTCTATAGAAAATATAATGTTTTTTCAGCTTTTCATTTTAACACAAAACCATATATTTCTACCGCCGTAATAAAGCACGGTGTAATCAATAGACAGTGGCACCTTGGTACGTCTGATAACGGTCTGAACGTGACCTCAGACAAAACATTGGTGCATTAAATGCAAATGATACTGAAAGTGTTAAAATAAAAGTTCAGTCAAACAGTTTATACTTACATATCTCGCAGCGAGTCCCCGTGTAGTTTGGAAGACATTGACAGACGTAACCATCAACTCCATCCAAGCACGAGCCTCCGTTAAGACAAGGACTGCTGGCACACTCGTTGATATCTAATATTAAACGGAAAATATAAGGAATATTGACATTTTTTGTGAAATATTGAACTAAAGATTGTCTTTAAAAAACATTAAAGATTCAAGATTTATTGTTTACATACAATACAGATTTTTGTTTTTCTGTGGTGTTACTTGCGATGTAATCACGTGATCTTGTGCTGAGAGCCAGAAGGGTGGTAACACTGTGTTAAAATACAGGAGTAATTACGCCCTTCCGGCTCTGGGCAGAAATAAGTGTAACAGAGAGAAGATAATAACAAAATAACCAAGAAGAAAATCTTTAGAAGGCTTTGAAATATTAAGTTTACAAAACAGATCACTTTTTTTTTTCTTAGATGATTTTGAATATTAACGAAAACATAATTCGAGCAGCGGGAGCCTGTCAGAGAAAATGTATATCTTTCGAATGAATCCTCAGGTCTTTTCTTTTCAATGATATTCATTCAGTAATATTCTTTAACGAGCAAAATACCCCCCTCCAAAAAACAAAAACAAACAAACAAACAGAGCATTTTATTTTTTTAACGAAACAGGTCAACATAAGTCAAGAGATTAAAACGTTATGGTCAGTTTGTCGGGGGGGGGGGGGGGGGGGTGGGGAATAAATGCGTAACCTATTATAGATTGACATAAAAAAAAAACACCTGTAAAAGGCAATTCATACTTACTTGTCTCACAGTTGCTTCCAGTGAATCCAGCACGACAATCACATGTATATCTGTTCACAGCGTCAGTACAGGAACCGCCATTTTGGCATGGGCTGCTTGCACATTCGTTAATGTCTGTATGATGTTGATTAGGGATTTAGGGAAGAAGCAAATAACCGTCAACTCTAATAATGATTAATACGATGTTTTCCTTTCCCCTTCTTCTTTCATGTCTTTGGGTGTTGATGATTTTGTTTCACTTGTGCCGACACCCTAGCCCCGCCATAGAATCCTGGATAAGCTACTTTTAATATGCTAACGAATCAAACTAAATCAAATTAAAAATCGGTCTCATATCTGAATTTCAACGTTTTCATTTTCTTTAACATGATAGTAATTTTACGTCAATATATGTGATTTTATACCCATATTAGATAACAAGTTCAAAACTTGTTTTACAACATAAGTATCTAAATGCACAGGAGTGGAAAATAAACTATTTGTGGAGTCATTTTGTTTGTAGTGGAAATACTCTACCCTAGAGTCATTTAACCACTACTTTGGAGCGGATTCACTTAACATGGAATGTTATCAATTCTGAAGGACAGTGAAGGAAATGAATCCTTGGTGTTACTCATTAATTTAAAATGGATTACAACTCCCCTGCTTTATGATAGTGTCTTCTACGTAAATTTACAGACATTCTGACAACAAAGTGATTGGGTAGCGTGCGATATAATCATGTATATTCAAAATCACAGATTAAATTCACGGGAAAGTATACCTTAAATAAACAAACAAACTAATAGAGTCAGTCACACCGCCAAACCGTTTCCAACCAGACTCAGACCGACACATTTTGGGCCGTAGGGTTAATGTTATTTTTTAATCTATATCCGTTGTCGGTCTGGTGTCGGCATTGTTGATGTGACTGAAGTATAAATTGTTACCGGTTTCACAAAGGATTCCCGTGTATCCAGGGAGACAGGTGCAGGCGAACTGGTTGATACCATCCACACAGATCCCTCCATTCAGACAAGGAATGCTGGCACATTCGTTGATATCTGGTTAAGAAAGCATCGAAATAAACATGAGCATATTGTTTGTTTCAGTTATCATTTTAATCAGGGAAACCTCATCAGCACCACTGCATTTCTTCCCGAGGGCTCTGTTATTATCATTATCCCAGCAATTGCCAGGCACCCATTTACACCTGGGTGAAGAATGGCTAATATGGATTAAAGTTTTGCCAATGGACGTTGGTGCCGGGCTGGGATTAAAACCCTGAACCATTGGATTAAAATTCAAGTGAATGACCTACTATACCACTCAACTTTCACTTGTGTTGTCTATTTTTTTTTTCGTGCTATTTATGTCAGTTCAGAAGAATAAAATAGTAGAACATTAATGTCCCCTGAAAAAGTAATGGTCTTCACATGCCCTCATATTCAAAATAATGAAGAGAAACAGCTGAACGGTTTGGACCAAAGCCTTACAGTGTACATAAAATCAAATTTCTTATATCATCAACATTCGCCTATAGAGCTTCTAGGCAGAAAATTAAGAGAAACGATTAAAGTGTTCCCGGTCAGGTCAAACTCCAATGACAAATAATTCAGTTTAAGATTCACAAACAAAACATTTAGTGACATCAACTTTCATCAGATTCACAACTTTGAGTGAAGTATCAGCGATACTTTTTCATGGTGGATGTATTGAATTGTAGGTTTAAAAAAAAAATCAGGGTTACAAGATGTCATCCTCTTAAATGAATAAGAGCCCTGAAAAGGGCTGGTTAGCTCCGCTAATAGCTATGTCTTATCGATATTTCGATCAGTATGCATCGATCTTCGTCAGAAGATTATATTCTGATCGAAGAGTCAAGAACCCAGAACTCTTAGCGGAGCTTACCACCCCTTTTCAGGGCTCTTATGCCTTTGAAATGATTACAATTCACAACTTTTTATAATTGTTTTGTTAATACTTTTACAAATCTGTTTCATTGTTGTTGTTTTTTCTCGCGTAATTCAACTAACTGAAACTGAAAACTGAAACCTATTTTCATGATTAGTATAAAAACGGCAATTTAAAAACGACAAAGAGAAAAATGTTCTTCCTCACAATATAAAACAAGAAGAGTACTTACTGTTTTCGCAGTTGACTCCATTGAATCCAGGAATACAGTTACAGGTGTATCCATTGACCTGGTCTACGCATGCACCACCGTTACGACAAGGGGCGCTAGCACACTCATCAATATCTGGAAGATTAATGGTGTTAAACAGAATTTTGAAATGACTCATGACTTAATCCATATTGGATGCCTGAAATCATATGTTAGGTAATTAGTAGGAAGTTAGAAAGTACTACTATCGGGTATATTTGGTCAGAAGTACCCTTTCCTGTGTCTGATGAATTTACATGTATGGATGTTTCTTTGCAGAACTTCCACATGAAGAATTACTAAATGAACCTTTATTTATAAAACATCATCTTATCAACCCACCCACCCCGAAAAAAAGAAAATAAAATCCACAATTCATTTAGGCCTATCAGTTATTGCCTTGCTAGGTCGAAAAAACATCATCTGACAAGTTTCTCGTCGTCAATACAAGCTTCACACGCGTGAGAAACAATCTAAAGTAATTCAATATTGTCAGTCAAACTCTAGTTCATTTTACTAATTTTTGTTAATTTTTTCTTGGTATATGTTTGTGATGTTTGACTAAAAAAGATTAAACTGGTAAAATCAAAAAGTAGGATAAGCAGGATTCTTTATAAGGTATGTGTTGTAGCATTGTATAAGTATCTCCATTTTGACAAGGACTATGTTGAAGGTTGGAGTGAGACATTAATTTTTCTGGAATGAACATTTATTTTATCAATAAAAGATCACGAAAGATGATCGATTACGTAGGTAAAATTTATGATTATTAATGGGTAATATTAAGGATAGGATAAGAAGAAAAGGTAGGGACTGATCCTGGATTCTTTGAAGGGGGATACGACCCCCTCCCCAAAAAAGCTTTTGAAAAGCTTTGATTTTCTTCAACAACAAAAATCACAGACAAACCAAAAACAAATTGAATAGACAATTTTTAGGTGCCTATGGGTATAGAATTTTAAGGGGGGATAGACAATATGATTAGAGGGGAAGATGTTTTTTAATGTAAGGTATGATGGATTGAGTTTTAATGGGGGCATAGGGCACTTGTGTCCCTTGAAATCCCTCATTTGTCAAGTCAATGCTTACCTGTTTCGCAGTTATCTCCGGTGAATCCAGCTGGGCAGATACATTGATAATCATTGACTTGGTCAACGCAAGTGGCGCCATTCAGACAGGGGTTAGGGGTACAGTCGTCTCCATCTATTTTAAGGATACCAGATAAAGAGTTATTATGTATACGGTTTGTATAAACCCGAACCCCTACAAAGGTATACCGTCCATAACTTTATTACGTTAACGTAAATTAATTCATAATCCTTTCCAACCGCCGCTATAGTTCTCTCTTTAGAACTATAAGCTCAAGGAAGATTACCAACGGTCCTTTTCAAGACTACACACATACTCAAGAAAGAAAGATTACCGACAGTCCTTTTCAGGACTCCCCAATCCCCCCCCCTTTCTCTCTCTCACATGGTTCAACCGTAAGCCTATACTGTATATCTACATCACCATGCAAGCCGATACTTATAAGCAGCATCTAATCTGACTTGTTACACACTATAATAGTAAACCTCCAACCTGGTATGATAAATAAGTTAAGACTATTACTCTATAATGATTTCATTATCTTTTTGACGTGATATAAAATCTTTGCTGATACGATTTAGATATTTTAATTACAATTTACTAATGAAGTAATTGTATTTTAGAAACGGTTAGAGCTAGATGTTTCCATATTTTGTTTTGTTTCACTGGATGTTTTCAACTAATCAACCAATCATATTACACGGTTGGACCGGGACAAAGAATCGGTAAGGGAATATCAATGTCACCGGCCAACATAAAGTGTAATATACGCATCAACCAACCCTCAGACCACAAATCGACCGGCCCTGACGCCAAAATAAAATCGAGCGACCGGTGTGGGGAGCCTCCGCAAGCTTTTCATGGCAAGACCGCGACGCCCCTTAATATATGGGTCGATCTTCTAAGGATATGTTTATGCTCAACTTTTTCTGGCCAGAATCAGGCATCTGTTACGCGTTTAGTTCAAAACACGGTTGCGTCCTTTCTCACTTTCGTAGAATCACCGAAAAACGGCGATCACGAACGCCGATCGTAAACTCACAAAAAGGTGCGTTTACAATTTGTAAACGCGTTTAAATGGGGTCAACGCACTGACCTCTAGTGGGTCTACGTAGCATGCACAGTGCAGGTTTGCGAATCCAGCTGCAATGCCAATTAAGGCCACCCAGCGAGAATTGCCTGGAGTAGCCAGAGAAATGAGCATAAACAGTACACCGTGGAACTGCGATTACGATGAGCGTTTAACGATGAGCGTTTCAAATCGTTCATTCTGCCTTCAAAATTCAGCTTAAACGCGCCCTTAAAAAAAAATCAGAGCATTATCGCCTGACTACGTTGGTATCTTACCTGATGAGAATGTGATTCTGAATCCCTTCCGGGGGATGTTACGATCTGTCGAGAAGATGAACCAGGCTTGCTCTCCCTGGACTGAGAACGGAGGTGGGACCTGGTTATTTGCAGTCAGGTTTCCTTCGAAGGTTGCCAGAGCTTGGTTGAAATCAGCGACAGGGCCCACACCGTACTCAACAGCATCTGTGAAAAAGAAAAGATGGGGGTTGTTAAAAGTGTATATTTCAGACTGAGTGCCTAAACGACTTAATCCCATTGTGAATACAGGCGCGGTTTTACAAAAAAGAATGAGAGAAGGGGGGGGGGGTTTAAGTTCTTGCCCTCATCTTTATGATCCTCGCTTAAATTCAGTAGCATTATATAAGCAAGATTTTTTGTTTGGGGGAAGGGAGGGGGTTTGAGCTGCTGAAGCCCTCTGCCCTATACTGTGTATGATAGCAAACGTTACATTTCTGTTTCTTTCTTTTCATTATTCCCTTCTGGGCCATTAAGCCTTTAGACAATATTGTCAAAGCCAACTTCCAGGAGGGAATTTTTGACTTTTTATGACAAATGCTTTGTATGACACCCGACACCACATGATCAGGGTTCTGTGATCAGATTCACAGTAATTTACGTGTGAACACGCGCTTGCCCTACCTACTTCCACTTTCACATTACTTTTAAAGACCATTTCACATTACAATTGCAGACCTCATTCACAATACATTTTCAATGCCTCTTTCACATTACAATTAAAGACCTCTTTCACATTACCATTAAAGACCCTTTGAAATTTCCATAAAAGACCTAGCTCGGTCATAAAGTCCTCTTTCACAAAACAATTCAACGACCTCTTTCACAATACCTTTTAAAGACCCCTTTTACATAACCTCTAAAAGATTCCTTTCACATTACCATTAAAGACTTAATTCATAATACCTTTAGAAGACCTCTTAAACATTACCATTAATGACCTAGCTCGGTCATAAAGTCCTCTTTCACAAAGCAATTCAACGACCTCTTTCACAAAACAATTCAACGACCTCTTTCACAATACCTTTTAAAGACCCCTTTCACATAACCTCTAAAAAGTTCCTTTCACATTACCATTAGAGACGCAATACCTTTAAAAGACCTATTTTACATTACCATTAAATACCTAGCTCGGTCATAAAGTCCTCTTACACAAAACATTTAAACGACCCCTTTCACAATACCGTTTAAAGACCCCTTTCACATAGCCCCTAAAGACCCCTTTCACATTACCTTTAAAGATCTCGGTCGCGAAATCCTCGATGGTAAAGGTTATGACACGTGCACCCTTGATCCGGACGAGGTAGAGACAGTCGGCTCGGTTATTGTAATTGGCCGGGTAGTTGGGAGACTCGATCACTCCAGTCGATTCGAAGATATTATATCCGCAGTTTGCACCTAGATATTTTTAAGGAAAGCAATAATGTTGAATAGATAAAGTAAGATGCATGATAATGATCAATATATAAATCGAAAGATAGATAAATAAATGAATGACTAAATAAATGAATACATAGATGAAATAAACAAAATTAAAGTCATAAATGGAAGCATAAATAAATTGAATGCTTCAAGCGCTGTGCTAAAGCAAAGGTAATAATACTACTTGGGGGGGGGGGGGGCTTTGAGCATCTGCAGGGGTGAATAGGTGCGAAATATAAATGGAGCTGTGATTATTATCATTATTATCATCATTATTATTATCCTTATTATAAACGTTTTCATTATTATTGTTACCGTTAATATGGTTGTTTTGTTAATGTCATAAAAATTATTATTTCATTATTATAATATTATCATTGTTGTTTTCATTATCATTATCATTTTAAAAACTGAAAACTTCAATTTCATTACCTGTGAAACGATCGCAGTTTTGCCCATCATAGCCCATCTGGCATTCACAGATGTATGTCCCTTCTCCGTCTCGACACACTGAGCCATTCTCACACGGGTTACTGCCACATTCACCTGCAGAGAGAGAGAGAGAGAGAGAGAGAGAGAGAGAGAGAGAGAGAAAAGAGAGAGAAGTAGTAGTAGTAGAAGAAGAAGAAGAAAAAGAAAAAGAAGAAGAAGAAGAAGAAGAAAAAGAATAAGATGGACAAAAAGAAAGACGAAATAGAAAATTAGAGGGAAAGTGAGAGAGAAAGCGAGAGAGAGAAAACGAAGAAGAGGAAGAAGAAGAAAGAAAGACGAAATAGAAAATTAGAGGCAAAGTGAGAGAGAGAGCGAGAGAGAGATAGGGAGAGATAGAGGAAGGGAGGGAGGAAGGGAGAAGAGAGAGAGAGAGAGAGAGAGAGAGAGAGAGAGAGAGAGAGAGAGAGAGAGAGAGAGAGAGGGAGAGAGAGAGAGAGAGGGGGGGGGGGGGGGAGAGAGAGAGAGAAGTTAAACATGAGGGTGTAAACGAGATATCGTAATAAAACGATCTTCATTTTTTATTTGTTCATCTCGTGAAATGTATTTGTAATTCCATTTAATTTTTTTTAAAAACAAACAGACTCTTTTTTGTTCTCCCTTTCTCTTTCTTCGTGTTGATGCATGACCAATATTTTTGAATCCTTCGAGAAAACAGAACACCTTCTCCATTTCCAAAGACGATCAGGGCTAGTAAATTTAAAGAGAAGGTTGAGTTCTGGGAAGAGGTGAAAAATAATTTGTGAACATTACTCATTCTTATTATGTAAGTATGGAAGAACATCAGTTAAGACATGTTCCCTGAAAAGCATGGCTCTTCAAATGCCTTCATATTCTAAATATGCATGTAACATCGTAAAAATCGGGGGCCGGCTTTTTACACCACGTGTTCGTGTAGTCCCAAATACATCTTTCTGTGCAAGTGTTTGTAACTTTACCAAGACTTGGCCACATTTCTTATCATTTTGATGATTCCAGAACCTTAAAATACACACAAATTCTTATATGCTAGATGATCAACCTTTTCTGGTCGGTTCTACACCGTTTCTTTCACAATGCAATCGCATGACCAGAACTCAACTTCATCTTTAAGTATTGTATTATATGTTGAGACCCCACACTTAAAAGTACCAGCAAGAAAGATACTAATAGGCCTACTTAAAAACTCGCTATTAAAAATGATCAAGAGGTTTAAGAATACATAGAACTCTGGAGGACAAAGACTAAATCGCTTTAGGCATATCAGGCTATCTCCTTGATCAGACACATATTATACGGTTGGCAGTTAATCTATAATGGTTATAATTCACATTCCAGTCTATTCATAACCGTGACTCAGAGTGAATTTTCTTTGTAAAGAACTAACATCCTATTAAAGGCTATAAAGGCCAAAACGTAATCTCCGAAAATTCTAATTACCTTGTCACACCGCCCAAACTACTCCACCCCAACTCCAAACCGACCACGTCTTGGTTGTCAGTAATGTTTCTAATCTTCTTTATTTTGTTTAAACCTTAAAAAAATAATTTAAAATTAAAATTAAAAATAAATAAATCAAGAAACTAACTAGGAAATGAATGCAAGAACACAAATCATCTCTAAAAGCCCCCCCCCCCCCCCCCTAACAAAAAAAATCGCACTAGTTGGCCATTCGGGGTAATATAATAACAATTTCCCGATCGGTTTGTTGTTAGCCATGTCGGTGTGGCCGGGGTTTCATCAAGGTGGGTCTAATCATGGACCTATTCGTAGTAGGTCCATGGTCTAATCCAATCCCGGAATCCAGTCCTTTAATGGGTTTCGCAATATGGCGCTAACTGAAGCGGCTCATAGGCCATTCTCATTTAAGAAAACAAATCCTTGCTGTACAACCATTCAAGCGGGCTAAGTGATCTAGGAATTGTGCTTTTTGAATAGGTTCATTAAAAGAAATCCAAACAACAACCCCCTTCAGGAGACTTATGCTAAGCCTAATCCCACATAAGAGGGATCTCGATGAGTCCCTATTTGCAGGGAAACAGCAGATTTACGCTGTAGGGCGCTTGACATGGGAAAATTGTATGAAAGGCAATGTTATATTTGTTTTAGTTTCTTAAGCAAAATAGCAGCTCTTTACAGTTTTACTTTACAGCTTTACTTAACAATGTATCTACTTCAGTAAGGATAGTTTTGCATATTAAGTACTGCAAGGTATTTCTTTTTGTTGATTGTCATTGCGGAAGGGGAACTTTCGTTGAACTCTTTTTATTTACATTTGAATGCATAGAGGGTAGGTGTTCGAACAGATTTTTTAGCACCTCTTTATAAGTACAACAAACACAGGGGATGCGATTTATAGTCCACTCTGTATGGTCTATCTAAAAGCTTGCACGACAGAAGACAATACTGAATAAAAGAATTGAACTAAAAAAATACCCAATCTGAGAATACATATTTGTCCGACCAACTTGTGATGAGCAATTATATTCCAACTGGTGTGACTTTTGCTCGATTGCTGTTGTAAAGGTAAAACGTAGCCCATGTTTCGGCATAAACTTGTCTGAAGTCTGTTGGCTCTCATATTGGGCAATTTAAGATAAACTTGAGTTCTGGTTATAAAAAAAGAAGATGAATTCTCACAGAGCCAAACGAAACTTACATTAAATGTTCAAGATTACAAATAAATGTCATTTGCTAAACAATTTTGGTAGAAGGTGTATACTGGCTGAGTAATGAGCATAGAAAGATAAGGAAATCAAGGTAAGTAGGGGGTAAGTAGCCCGGCCCTACACCATTTGTGTAGAGTTCCATACACATCTTTCTGTGTACAGTGCTTGTTGCTTTACCAAAATTGGGCCAAATTTATTATGATTCTGATGACTCCAGAATCCTGCAGTACACCCAAATACTTACATGCTACATGATCAACTTTTTCTGATCCATTCCACACCTTTTCTTTCACAATGCAATCGCATGACCAGAACTCAACTTTATCTTTAATCCATTCGGATTATTTAAAAAAAGATCACCACTTAAAGCCATCACCAATTACCCTCAGATAACTACCAATGAAGTAATAAAGGGGATAGCAATCGGGATAGGTATTGTTCGGGGTTGTATATAGGGGTCGTTTATTTAAAGGGTGTAGTTAACGAGGGGTGATAATCCTGGGCGTTCTAGAATGAAATGGGCCATAACGCTAAATTCTTAACTCCATCACTGTTCTCAGTAAATCCATAACCAAGGCGTTCGAGAAGTAGTTATTAACTTTTGAAAATTTAGAAAACGCATATAATTACCAAAATCTTTTAAGAACAGATGGAGTTCTGTTCAAGATAAAAGGTAATTTGTGAGCTTTCTTATTCTTCGTATGTCAGTTAATTGGGAAGAATATTATAGCAGAAATGTCCCCCTAAAGGATTACTCTTCAAATCCCATATTCGGAAAATGAATGGCAAGAAGTAGTGAGACATTGAAGGCCACTCCTTCAGGGGAAATTCTTACATAGTATTTTTTCAAACGGAAATAAAAAAGAAAAGGAAGGTTACAATTCCTTTCCACCAGAATTCAACATTCTCTACAAGGGAATACCGGTTATACTTTGTTGGTTTTTTAATGTATCGAGGCGATAAAAGGGTCACATCAATAAGAACATTGTGTGTACTCCTTTGTTCAACATGCGCTTTAGGTTCTGAGCGTATGTTCCCCGTATTAAATAGAGCATTGTAAATTATTCAAGGAAAAATCGATGCACTCACAATCGTACATGTACAGTATAAACATATAAACAGAGAAGAAAGGGGGCATATAATTAGGACAAAATGTAGTGACATAATCTCAGGCTATAGGTCCAATCCGTCCCGTAGTGATAATTTAAACTATCATTCGTTTGGAGGTGTATGAAAAATGAAAAAGCCCTTCACTTGTTTGTAAATAGCATATATCCTCGCATTAAATGAAGTACTATATTATAAATTATTCAAGGATCAATCCAAGATTCACGCACATTAATGAACACATATAAACACATAAACAGAGGAGAAATCGCAAAAACAACTGGGACAAACACGGTCCCACAGCACGATCTTGTCAATGGCGATAACTAACACTTGTATTCCTGAATGAAATGCTCTTTTGTAGCCGGTGCTATAAAGGTTTCTCTGCATACTTTCCTGGGGCTAAATACATTATTCAAGAACCAATACAAAGAGATACTTACAAATAAAGAACATGGAGAAGAAAGGGAAAGTAATTGGGACACATGTAGTGATTCAACCTATCAGAAATAAGGTCCAATGACGTAACAATGACAGGTAATCTTCACTTAAGAATGAAGGCATGCACTACACATCTTTCATCCACCATCTACATTAATTGGGGTTGGCCTATCGAAGATCTAATATATTAGTTACGATTTGTGTTGCTGATGGACTGGTTTCTTTTTATGTTATGTAAGAGCAAGCAAATTAAACTTATCTTTTTAAAAATAATGATTAAAGAAATGAAGACAAATAGAATGGGAAAACTCATTTCTAAATACACTAAAATGAAATTTGGGATGGATATTTCCATTACATGCTTCCCCCAAAAGTGTATTATAAAAGGTATTACCTTTTATAATACACTTTTTATAGGATCATTACTTCAACTACTGTTATGTTTTACTCAAATAATATGATTGTTCATTTAATATCGGCCCATGCTGTTCATTTTTATCATTGTTAACGCTATCGTGCTAGTGAACTTAGGACTGGGGTTTAAAATTACATCCCGAGTTAGAATACATTCTCGAACACAGAACTTCAAGAGTGTAACAATTAATGGATTGACCTCTTTACAATATATTCAAATATTCAAACACCTTTTCTACTTGTTGAATGCCGACATGGTTATGGTTTGTAATTGCAAAATATAAATATTTATAGAAAAAATAATGAAAGAGAGAGAAACAAAGAGAAGATGAGGAAGGTGTCTTCGGATATCTTACCTTGCCCGTATGTTGCAGCAACAATACCGAGAAGCAAAACGGCTAGTAAAGACACCTTCATGTCGAAGCCTCAGAGGAGTCAACGTCTCAAGTCGAAAGCGGAGAAAGCTGCGATGCCTTGTACTTGCGCGATGTCTTCGCTATGTTCCCAAGACGCTCTCGAACCCTCAACATCAAACCACGGAGTGACACACCTCAGAAACCTTCCTGATTAAAATGGCGAGAAAATGCCAGCTCAGAGACTGGTCAGAGACTGGTCAGTTGGAGGGATGAAAGCGTGTGTGTCACCCTATTCACCCTCTATAAAGATGCACCCAGTTGCGCAACATCTTTTGTTGTTGAAGTAGGACAGATACATGACAGTCGTAAACAAGACATTGGGTTCGTTGATGCGTGACGATGTATCCCCGCAATGACCGCACCCATCCTCTGTGATATTCTTTGTTCCTATCGATCCATCGCCTGATTCGCCCCAGTCACACTGGATTCATGTTGTTTTTCAGAAGGCTCATCGTCAGATCATTCCAAAAATAAAATATTCAACTCGCTCAATTTACTTCGCAATATAAATTTCAAAGTAACAGTAAATGTTAACTATATTTACAAAGGTTGTATGCGGGGCTTTCCATGAAGGTTGCGTAAACCTGTTAAGTTGGATCGCTCAATACAGAATGAAAAGCAAACAAAAAGAAATACAAAATATTATAAGCACACAACAATAAATTAAGTAAAAAAGGCAGAATATAGACACTTCAACTATTTATAAGACGAGAGAAAGTGAAGTAGTGAAATAGAATCCTCTCGGAACAATGAATCCTGTTTTATTTCGGCAGAATTGACTCCCTTTCTGAATTATGAACCCGGCTCAATTCATTTTCGGAATCATTAACCCATTTCCATTTTTCGGAATTATGAACCCTCAATTCATTCTAGGAATTATGCACTCTTTTTCATTTTCGGAATCATGGACCCTATTTCATTTTCGGAATTATGCAGCCTATTTTATCATTTTAGAATTATGAACCTTTAAAACAAAACTCGAAATAATGAATCCTTTTACATATTCGAATTCACAAACCCTTTTCTTTTTTTCGTTTTCGGAATCATGAACTGCTTCTCATATATGGATGAATAAACCTTATTTCAATTTTGAAATTATGTACCTTATACATTTTTTTTTTAATCATGAACCTCCTGGAATAGGAAAAATTGTGTTTCGGAATTAAGAAGATTTGAACTTTCGGAAAAAAGGAGTAACCCCGTCATATCGATGAGACCGACCCCAGAAAACCAATGCAAAAGCCGATACATGTCACCGAATGAACAAGAATTGCCCGGAGTTGGATTGGTTTGGAGTTTTTTGGCAGAGTGCGTAAAGTTTTGCCCTTAAAATGGCAACTGCCCCTTAGACAATTTCCCCTTCGGACAACCATTCCTGGACAACTACCAGGAAAAAAAAGACCAACCCCTATGTCCATTAACTTATAAAGATACATTGAAAGTAAGGCCGTATTTGGAACAAAGTGTGCCTTGAATCATGCTAGGATATGTCGAGCAGCTTAGAATACCCCCACAATAAAAGTTGATAAGTTTGCTACGTGATTGCCGCTTCACCAACGTCAATGAAGCTATCACATTCAGCGCATGGTTCCTATAGCTCAAATATATATTTTCAAATATAAAGTGAAAGGCGTAAATATTCCAAAAAAAGAATGAAACGCCGATAATACTAAACATTAACAAATAGCACACCCTATAACCTCAACCCACAATCCGAACGCTATAACCCTTACCCTAAGCATAATCACAACTTTAACATTGTGCGTTGGTCGTCTATATACTCGCTGTTGGTTGGGGGTCGTAAAGTTAAGCCAGGGACGTGTTTCTTTCACCTCCCTGGTTAAGCCTGTCATTTTTCTTTCTACTAATTCGACGAGGGACAATTTGAATCAGGGTACACAATATGTCTTGGACACACCCTACACATACAGGCTCTTCACGTTGGCTTGTTAACCCTAAACCTTTTTACACCTTTCGAACCATTGTTATTCAGTGAAAGGGAATTTATGTGTGTGCCTTCAGGCGACAAAATCATTTCTTTGTAGTAGATTCAAAGACATTGTCATTGATTGGAGTTTAAAAGGTCTGGTTCCATGAAAGACCAATTATACCCTAGCCACGCTAGCAAAACTAAGTCCACGTCCTCTCCAAGCAATAGGCCATTTTCGTATTGTAACCAAATTTAATGCATAAGTCTTTGTGAAGTGCCTCAATACATATTATTTCATTCACCTGAAAAGAATAATATTATTGCAATAGACAGAATTCGAACTGCATGCATTAGTTGTTGTCAGGTTGGACAAACATCATGGCTTGACCTCCCAAGCAACACTTAATATATGCAGTTTGCATTCTGACTATTGAAATACTATTTATATTCTTATCAGGTGAATGAAATAACTTTTATTGAGGCACTCCACAAAGACTACGAAAATGGCCTATTTTTGGCGCGTCGGTCTCGTTGGTGTAACTGAGGTCTAATGATAACGTCCTTATTGTTTTAGTGTTGTGAAGGGCGGAAGGAGGGGGGGGGGGAGTAGATGTTCTCTTTCTTTTTCTTCTTTTATCACATATCTTTTGCCTACTTTTTATCATAACCCTTTGTTTTCACTTTGAAGGAAATTTTGAAAAATTATCGTGGAAAAGACGTGAAACAATTGGAAATCAATATGCAAGCTGGACGAGGAAATATTGTAAACAATTTTAGGTCCGATTTGTTTAAAATGTTGAACTATAATTTTGTTTATGTGGATATTTTCCTTCTTAATGTGTAACTTCATCTACAAATGAATTAAAAATGAACAATTTATTGGTAACTTTAAAGTAAATGTTCACTTGCAAAGTTGAAGATTATTTGTTATAAATTTTCTTTATGAGAGAAATGAATAAAAATCTATGAAGAAAAAAAAGGGGGAAAAAAGAGACGGTTTCCTTCATGGGCCCTGTCTTTCAAAGAGTTACAATTATTGATCCATACTGATCGCAAGTCCTCCAATCAATTGCAAACTTACTAAATCCTAGTATCTCCTTGGGACAGGGTTGCGAGTGATATCAAGTGAAATGGAACGGATTTACACCTTGAGGCGACAAAATCATTTCACATTGTTATCGTATTCAAAGGCATTGACATTGATGGAAGCTTAAAGGCCCGGTCACACTGCCAAACCGACTCCACATCGATCCATTTTTCTTGCCCTTCGTGGTAAGGTATCTTTTTGTTTGGTCTGTGGTCGGTTTCCTCGGTGTGACTGACGTATAACGGTATCGCTCCCCAAAACAATTTCCTTCATGTGCCCTGTCTTAATAAGAGTTGCGATTGATCCAGATTGATTGCAAGTCGTTCAATACATCGGAAACTCACAAAGTCTTGTATCTCTTTAGTAGAGTCGCGATTGATCGAGTTGTGATTGATTTGAATAAGTTGCAACTGTTTATAAGATAGGGCCTTGAAATTTATTTTAAAAAGGGTATTATTTTGAAAAAGGGTATTGGACATGCCATAATGTTCAAGAAAACCGGCCCTAAAGACACACTGCCACTGGCATAAATTGGAGAGGTGAGAGTCCCCGCCCCCCCCCCCCCCCCCCCCCGTCCCCCCCGCCCCCCACCTCCGGGGTCGGAATGACCGCATGCGTGTTACCAAAATGTCCGGTAAAGGGGTACTTTTCACGCACCAAAGTCCGGCTCGTACATACATAAAATTGACTTTACACACCGGACTTAGGTGGTGTTTTCAAAAGGAGGGAACACGTATACGCGTACCCTAAATAACACTGAGTGGGGGGCCGGGTGAGAGTCGCAACACCGATATCCTCTTGCCACATAAAGTTTAGGAGAGTACGGGGTGCATATATCGTTGGTTTTCATTGTAATTTAGATAGATAGATAGTTTAGATAGTTTATTGGTTTCCATAATATCTCATTTTACAAAGAGTGTAACAACATATTGAAAATGATTATAATATACATGTATACAATACCGGAACAAACTATTCACAATATTGCCCATTAAGTTGAACTTAAGAGATATAGTGGCGGAGCCTATGGAAAAGCAGAGCTTGTTGTGGATATGCTCCTTAAACTACAAATGACATAATGAACTAAAGTAAAGTTTATAAAATACAATATACACACTAAAACAGGGAAAGGGAGATTACAGGGATACAAGAACCGATACTCACAATTAACTCCAAAAGACAAGGAAAAGGGAAGGGAATATTATCTGCAGCTTAGTAAAACAATATTACAATATAGTTTGTTCTCGATATGAGTATATTATAAACAAATTGCATGGTCATACCGTTATTTACTCATTGTAATGAACATAAGTATATAGAGCTTGGAGATAAGAATATTCAGGAATCAGGAATGACAATATGTATTTAAATAATAATATTTCAATTTTCTTCTGAATACATGTACACTTACAGACCTCTTAATCACAGAATTGAGAGAATTCCAGAACTTAGGACCTGTATTATATTAAGGTATTTTGAGCAAAGCGTGTTCTCGTTCTAGGAAGGTGATAGGAAAACGCATGTCGGGTAGGATAGTCGTGGACTTGATTTCTTTTCTTAAACAAATAAGATAGTGCCTGGGGCAGTTCGTTGTTATTCAGCTGAAACATGAGGCATCCTAACTGTAAATTAAAAATATCCCGAACTCTCAGTACTTTAGTATTAAAGAAAAGAGGGCTCGAGTGAGTACGAATAGGTACATTGAAAATTGTTCGTATTACTCTTTTTTGAACAACCAGGATTTTGTTCGGTTGAAGTTTCATTGAACTACCCAGGCAAGAATACCATAGTTCAAGTAGGGCAACATTAAAGTGGAGTACAAAATTTGCAATAAATATGATGGGAACATAGGTTTAAGTTTGTATATCACACCAGCATTTCTTGATAGAAATGACCACAAATAATTTGTATGTATTTTCCAGGACATTATATCATCAATAAACAGGCCAAGAAACTTGGTCGATTTTACTTTCTTAATTTTGAAATTGTTGAAATAGATATCTCCAGGTAAATCGGAGATTGAATTGCTAAATAATATGAAATTAGTTTTGTCCAAGTTAAGTGACAGTCTATTCGCAAAAATCCACTGTGCAATATTCTCAAGTTCCAAATTTACAGTTTCAACAAGAATTTGAGGATTCTCATGAGAATAAATTATGCTTGAGTCATCTGCGTATAGTATAAATGACAATAGTTGGGAT